TGGGGTTTAAACCTGAAACCTTATCCAAATGTGGTGGGTGGTGTTATCATTGAGATAACTAGCCGTTGACATATATATAAAATTTCATAAAAGAGGTATGATTCCCTCGCTTTTAAAATATTCTTAACCTGCTGATACTTTTTTTTAAAAAAAAAATATATGTTGAGGATATTGGAGACCTTAGTCTCTACCCAAAAAACCTAAGGAGAATGACTTTTGATCAAGTGGACGTGGTTATGTTATGGAATATGCTAAAAACATAATTATAGAATAAACGAGTGGAAATTTGGATATGAAGTTAGAAAAGTAAGCATGAGAGTAATTGGGGGGGGGGGGAATGGAATAAGAAACAAGGTAAGGAAGCTAGTAGGTAGGGAGTATAAATTAGAAGAGTAGTAATAGTAATGGAAGAGTTAAAATTCAAAGGCACGTGAGATTTGAATTCTAATTGAAATTGGAAATATAGTAACAAATGAAATGAGAGACGTGGGAGGACCTTTGAGGACCATTATTCAATGGGAACGCAGCCCCCCCCCCCCCAAGTGGGTTTTTTCAGCCTTGTCAGTTCATTGAACTTCATCGCCAACCTTTCTTTCTCATCCATCTCTTCATTTTTCACCTTCCACGATTTCCATCCTCATTCATTTCCTCTTGTGTCTGTGTCAAAACCAATCATAATTAAATTACTCCCTGCTTTCACTTGTAAGAGATTTTTTTAGGACTGAATTTCTAAAATTTTCAAGGTAAAATAACATCGAGCACTCTAATATTATTTCTTAGTATACCTATCATTCTGATATTATTTATGTGGTGTGTTCAGTATATTGATATTGATGTCATTTTTCCGGCGATCTAATACCATAATCTTATTTATAGTGCATCCAGCACCTTAAATCATAAATAAAATTAGAATATTGGAAGTAACTGAAAAATAATATTATATTAGGGAGTGTTAAATGTGCTAGAAAAATAATATTAAAGTGTTGGATATGCCATAAATAACATCAGAATATAATGCTAGATGCTACTTTACCTAAAAAAAATTATTTTTAAGGCTTATATTTATTGATTCAAGTTTATAAGTGAATTTATAAGTACACATATGTATTTTGATAATAAAATAACAAATGTAATTAAAAAAATCGATCTAATAATGAAAATAAACAATTCAACCCTAAGTTTTGTGGGATTCTTAGTTATTAGTAGTGAAAAGGAAAGATGAGCATTGATCTTTTTGTTTAACCGTGATAAAACATTAAAACTTTTACACCGTCAACTCGTTCATTTAATTTTTCCACGGTGGCCTAGGCAGATGTTTGGTCTTGTTCAGATTGAAAGGTCACACATAGACCACTGTTAAATACCGCAGGAGATGGCATAATTATATGGTAAGTCCACATACAATTACTTAAACCAAATGTGATTATTAGTTCAAATTATCTTACTGCACAAAAATGATTCTGATTCGCCATGTACGTGCACGCGTCAATTCTTGACCGGTCCATTTCCTTTTTATTATTTGTTAATCTTTGAAAGGTCAATTATTTTATGGGTTAAATATGGTTTTACTAGGTAATCCATACATACTCCTTCCTCTCCATGATACTAATTTGAGTAGATTAAGAAAATAAGTTAAGTTAGTGATTTGTAATAAATAGGTGTTGTCTTTCCTAAAACATTCTTGCTAATCAAGTTTATTGGCTAGAACTATTATTATTAGAAGGAATATCTTGAAAAAAGTGAATAAATATGAGAGACAAAGTGGATTAAAATATTATATTTATGACTGAAATAAAAGTCAAACGAGATCTTATATTAAGGACTGGAGGTATTATCATTTACTCTGATTCAGTATCAAAAAATGGTAGTTGACTTGTTGAATCTGTTTTTAATTTTTTTTTTAATTTTACTCATATTAAATGAAATTGTAAAGGCAAATGAGATTACGAGAGAGAGAGAGAGAGAGAAACACAGGAAATACATTTAAACATTAATTCTAGGAACAAAATCAATAAATAATTATTAAATACTTTTCAAGTTACGTATATTTTAGATCGAGTTATTCTTTTAGAAAAAACTTATATTGCGGATATATGTATGTATATATATCCTTCACCATATAATAACGAAAAAAGGAGTATTTTCTAATTCATATCGAAGGAGGGGGAAATAATAGAAACATTCAAAGTCCAAAAGGAAAGTTAAAATTGGCTTTTGACTTCTAGCAGGAGACGCGCCTTTCATTCGAACAATCTCTCTTTTTTTGGGACCTCGATTCACGTGGAAATTAATCTGTGGGTCAACTATTCATTTATAAATTTGTCAATAAATATGATTATACTTGTATAGAAAAACTATTAAAAAAAATTAAAATCATCTTAATAATTTGGATACTTAACCTTATATACTTAATTAATATAACTGTATCCGATCAAACCAGACCAATTTGATTTTAATATAAGGTTAAGTGCAGTGCGCCCGCCCGTGTGTGTGTGTATGAGTTTTTTCGTAAATAACTTGTCAACGAAGACTTCAATATTACTCCTACAGTCCAACAAACCATATACTCGCCCCGGTTCAAAGTATAAACGAAATTTTATCCATTCCATTTATTAAGAAACTAATTAAAATCAATTTAAAACAATAAATGTGTAAGGCATATATTTGGTTTTCTTAATATACCCTTATTAATGAAGAGAATAAGTAAAAGATGTAATAAATGAATTAAAGAGGAAAGAGAATATATAAGGATAAAATTGAAAAAAACTCATTAAATACTTAGACAAAAGTGAATATTATCTTATAAAAAACATAACCTCTTTAAGAAAGTTTAGCTTATATCTTGAACTAGAGGGAGTATATGTCAACTCGAAAAAGGTTAATATTACCTCCGATTCTAAATATAAAAGCTAGTTGACTAATTTAAGTAAATTAGGAAAAGAAGTTAAATTAGTTATTTGTGATAAATAAGTGTTGTTTTTCCTAAAATATTCTTGCTTATCAAGTTTATTGGCTAAAACTACCACTATTTGAAAGACTATCTTGGAAAAAAATAAATATAAGAGACAAAGTGGATTATGGTCTTATATTTAAAACCAAAATAAAAGTCAAACAAGATCTTATATTAAGGATAGGAGGTAGTACTTAATATACTCCTTTTGTTCTTGAGAATTTAAAGGTCAACGCAGACCTAATTAATTAACTAATTAACTCCGTGAACAATACGGTAGAAAAATATTGTGACCAAACAATTTCATTTTGACTTGATGAAATCCGAAAGACATATTGATACAATTTATCTGGTCGGTATACATATGATGTGGAGACAAAAATTCTCAAACTATACGACTTTGCAATATATATACTATTATATATATAAAGTATATACTCTCCCGGTCCTAAATATAAGACCCTTTTCACACTACAAAAAGAGGGTCTTATATTTAGAACTGGAGGAGTATGTTATATTCATTTTATATACTAACTCAGGTTCTTAATATAAGAGTTAGATTGGCTTTTAATTTGATCTTAAATATAAGATCACAACATACTTTGTCTATCATATTTATGTATTTTTTTTCCAAGTACTCCTTATAATAGTTGTACATGTTAAAATGTTCTAGCTAATACACATAATTAGTAATGATATTTTAAAGAAAACAACACCTATATATTATAAATAACTAAACTAATTTTTTTAATCCATTTAAATTAGTCAACCCGCTCTAATATTAAGTTCAAGATGTAATAATTTAAATACTACCTTCGGTTTTTTATTATAAGAATTAGTTAACTAATTTGAGTAGATTAAGAAAATTAGTCACGTTAGTTATGTATAATAAATAGATATTATCTTTTTTAAAATGTTTTTATCATTTAAGTGTATTGATTAGAACTATTATTATTACAAAGGTTATGTTAAAAAAATAGATAAATATAATAAATAAATTTGATTAAAATTTTATATCCAGAATCAAAATAAAAACTAAACAGATTCTTATATTTAGGATTTGGGACCGAACGGAATATAATGTATTCACACCTAAGCATGCCCAAAAATAGTGTGTGTGTGAAGCGCGTAGAAAGCAGAACAAAAAACAAGAATACATGCAACGTGAAAAATGTTTGGAATTGTAACGGTGACCATATTGAAACACAGGGGCCCACCACGACACAGACACATAGTCCATCTTCCATTTTAATATGATTATAAACCTGGCTCAATACCAGGACAAATCAAGTTGCCTTACCGGTCAACATATAGAAGTTTGAGTTTTCAAGATAATCACTGTGCTTTAATTATTTTCTCCTCTGATTAATCATTAAATTAATTAAAGATACATTTAATACTTACCATAATCAACAGCCATGGGTTGTTATACTCTCTTCAGACCTTAATATAAGACTTAGTTAAAAGAAAATTATACTTTAAAATATAAGATGTTGTCAAGATAATTAAGATGATTTTTTTCATTTTCGTTCCTATTAAATGTAGGAGAGAGGAGAAAGATAATAAATATCAAAATTATAATATCAAAAATAAATTTATTATTTTTAAGAAATAAAATAGGAAAATTTTATCATGACATATTTAATAGTTAAATTTCTATTTTTTAATATGTAAAAAATTAAATAATTTTTTATATTATGAAGAGGGTGTGCGTGTGTGTATGTATATATATGTACAAAGAGATTCTGTACATACATCCTGGTAACACGTCAAACCAGTCGGATCCACAAGGTTTTACTATTTTGAACAGTCTTTTGAATTTGAAAGGCGTGCTTGACTTTGAATTTATTTCTTCCATTCTCTTCCATATTCTTTTCTCAAAACTCAGAAACTCACCGACTTGCCGATCAAATGGATATTCCCTTTTTTTAAAAAAAAAAAAAAGAGAAAGCAGATTCAGGTCCCTTGCTTTTTGATAAAATACTAATAATTCAACACGTTTCCTCTTATCCAGCAGCGCTATAAATAAAGCCCTAGCCTTGCTTCATTGGCACATGTGCCAGCAATTTTAGCCGCTGGTTTCCGGTTCTCTCTCAGCCTCCTTCTCAGCTTCCTCCCTCAAATTGACCTTCCTGGCTCTGCATATGTGCATGTGTCTCGCTTTGTTCAGTCACAGGAGTGCAGAAAGTTTGAGGCTTTGAGTTTATTGAATACTTTATCTTCTGGGTTTTGCTTCGACAAGGTCTTTTGTTTCGACTGAGGATTAGTAAAGCCGCCGTCTTCTTTTGACTTTGTTCTGCTATGGATTATTCGTCGTTGGTTAACACTTCCTTGGACCTCAACCTTAATCCTAATTCAGGAGTCAATGAAGAGATTCCTGTAAGTAAAAAAATGAGCATGTCTTGTTGTGTCTTCTCGTGCTTAGATATGGTTTGAATGTTTACTGATGCGGGAAATCTTTCCTCTGTGTTGTTCAGAAAAAGGAGGTGGAAAGCAACTTTTTTGCATTAGAATTGAAGTCGTTTCCTTCAAGACAAGAGGTTAGTTCGTTGTTTCTGGAATCTGTGTTTTCTCTTTTCTGGGTTATGGAAACTTCTACTGATCTCTGGTTGATTATATTAGTTCCTTGTGTATGACTTATGTCTGATTAAAGTAGCTTAATGGATTTTCAGGCGAATGGTGATCTGGAGGAGGAATTGAAGAGGGTGAGTGCAGAAAACAAGAAGCTGACTGACATGCTCACAGAGATGTGTGATAATTACAATACTTTGAGGAACCATTTCTCTGAATATATGAGAAAGAACAGTAATTCAGAAAAGGAGATGAGCCCACCAAAGAAGAGGAAATCTGAAAGCAGCAATAACAATGGCAATCCAACTGGGGCTGATGGAAACAATAACTCAGAGAGCAGCTCAACTGATGAAGAATCAAGCAAGAAACCAAGACAAGAGATCATCAAAGCAAAAATCTCTAAACTTTATTTCAGAACACCAGCATCTGACACATCCCTTGTAAGCCAAAGACATGACTAATATTATTTTATCAACACTTGTGTTTTTATCCTTCAACATGAGTACTAAATATGTATTTTCATTTCTGATTCCAGATTGTGAAAGATGGATATCAGTGGAGGAAATATGGGCAAAAGGTGACCAGAGACAACCCTTGCCCAAGAGCGTATTTCAAATGCTCTTTTGCTCCCTCTTGCCCTGTCAAAAAGAAGGTAAATTAAAGTACCAATAATGAACTAATCATAAGGAAATTGGATAAAAGAAGAAAAATAAGCCAAGTGTTGTGTATTTGTTTGGTTATTCAGGTTCAAAGAAGTGTGGATGATCAGTCCACTGTGGTGGCAACTTATGAAGGAGAGCATAATCATCCACAGCCTTCTCAAATGGAGGCAACAGGATCAGGTTCAAGCCGAGGCCTAACATCATCTTCTCTGCGGCCTTCTCCTCCAAAAGTTACAGTTGACATGGCAAGGTCTAAGTCCTTCAATGAATCCACACACTCACTGCCAAAGCTTGATTCGTCTGAAGTCCCTCAGGTTTTGGTGGAACAGATGGCTACCTCGTTAACCAAGGATCCCAATTTCAGATCAGCACTTTTAGCAGCCATTTCAGGAAGAGTGTCGCACAAGAATTAGACAGAGAATTTGAGTGTAGTTAGCTTGTAGGCTGTTATCAAGAAATCCAAGATTGGATTAGTTTTTATTTCAAGCATGGGATCTGCGTGTAAATATAGCAGAGAAAATTGGGAGATACGCCTCAAATGTGATTCTTTTTACTCAGGATAGCGAGTTGGCAGAGATTAAACATGAGCTAAAGGAGCTCAGTTCAGCCATTTCTGATCTTCTGAATCCGAGGAGAAATCAAACAGAGATGCCCAATTTAAATGCCACCAAAAATTATCCAAAAATGAAAGGAACTTGTCTTTTTCATGGCATGTGAGTCCGATCCTGTTACTGTGTAATTCTTCGATGATCAATTAGTCACTTTCTCTTCACATTATGCGTGGATTATTAAGATATAAAGCATTTTTGATAATGAAATAAGGATCTAAGACTTTTGATTCAAAGATTGATGTCTTGAGCACAGTCAAACCTGATGAAATTTGCTGCTCCAAAGTTACCAAATTATTAAGGTATACCGCATAGAGGCCTAATTAATTGAAGGATACTCACTTTGTTTAGACCTGTTCTCTTGTTTAGATTGCCCTTTGGAAACCCACTGTGGTCAGCGTAGGTTTAACGTCTATTAACCGAGATACTTAGATATTATTCATTAAAGACATCTCATGTTAGTAATGACATTTGAATCCGTATCTATTAAACCCAATTTTATTGGCAACTATATTTAATTTCACCCATTTAAGATCCGTGGATCCAGCAACAACATTGTTGGCCCACAAACGGATAAGGATATTTGAATCCTGATCTCTCTAGAAGGTTTTCTGGCTTGCGCGCTCTAAAGCTCTGAGCAAATCTTGGACCAAAGATCAAACTTGATGACTCTTTCTAGGCATAATCTAAGATGAATTATTTAACAGTTTATTGTAAAAACATTGAAATTGATTGGCTCATTCGGTGTGCCAGTGGGATTTCCTTCTTAATTGGGCCATTGCATCGCTTTGTCTGCTAAGGCGTTTTCTTTATATTACTGATATTTTGTTTGCTATGAACCAAGGACCAACCCCTTCACGCGAATCACATTGGTCAAATGTCTGGAATTTCAACCAGCAACGCTTTGTCGCTAATTTCGTTGGATTAGGTAATGAATAGAAAATATGAAGCACCGAAAATGGAGCCTGTCCTGTATTTTCAAGACCACCGTTTGGGTCGGGGATGCTGACATGGCATAAAAACCATCAACTGGTTCTTGCACATGATGAGTTGTCCTCGTACAGCCATCAGTTTCTTTATAATAGACTACTGGCGAACTGTCAAATTAAATTTCATGGTTCAGACTTCGTGACTTTTAAGTTTTAACACTACGCCGTGAAAATTTGATCTAAATACTCCCGCTGGTCCTTTTTATAAAAACTTGTCAACTACTTTTACAAGATTTAAAAAAGCTTCTATAACTTTACATCACTGCTCTTTGATTGGTGTAACTGATTAAAGAGTAGGGATGAAAAAGCCGTTGAATATTAGCTATAAATGTTTTATTAAATTTTGTAAATAATGTTGTATGAAATATCAATGAATAGATTCTGAAAAATGGGACTGAAGGAGTACATAACTACTGTGAAATTGTAGTGGAGAGAAACGCAGCAGAGAAAATTCAAACTAGCATGGCCATCAGCAACAAGATTTAATGCAAAGGAAAGTTGTTTTAAAAAGAGAGAGAGACAGATATAGAGATAGAGAGAGAGAGAGAGAGAGAGATAGACAGAGGAGAATAAATAATCCACTTCAGTAATTTTTTAATTAATACACAAGAACTTGAATTGCCGGAGTCATTGCGCTTTTCAGATACAGGTTCTTTCTAGCTATTTCTGTATGGATTTGTACACTCCGTTGCCACAAGCAAAGCCTGGTCAACACCGTCAACCAAACTAGAGCCTATCATTTTCAATCATTCTACTTGGACGTGAAGCTCAATTTATCCACAGCAAGCAACAAACCTACCTCCGTGGGATCCTCGTTTGTTTTGTCATTGACCTTAGATGCGATGAGGGAGCCGTCTTTATGTGCTGTTGCTTCGGTGGCTGTACATTCTTTGAATCTGAAGCAACTGATAAGGTGGTCATTTGTTAGCCCAGCCACTTGCATGAACGTGTAGATGACCGTTGGTCCCACACTCCTGAACCCTCTCTTCACAAGGTCTTTGCTTATGAATTCTGCCTTTGGAGATTTGACGGGTACCTGCCGTGCGTATCGGAATTGACTAACTATTGGCTTATGGTTCACAAAGTTCCAGATGAACTTGTCAAAGGAGCCAAACTCGTCAATCACCTGCATGGCATGGGAGGAATTTTAATCACCCTCAAAAAAATTGCTCTGACATCTTGTTTTATTACAAATCTGGTCATCATTTATGACTCATCTGAGCATCATGGAGCAGCTTTCCTGTTTCATTTTCATTCATCTTCTTGGTCGGTGACAGAAAAGTCTGAAATTTAAGGGTTAATTTCCCCGCACTTAGTGAAAAACAAGGCAGACTTGAGGATAAATGAAAGTAGTTACCTTACATATCAAACGTGCGTTTTCAACTATGGCTCGTACCCTGAGTTCTGAAAGCAAAGATGTGGCAGGGCTTCCCGGTGCGGTTATCTTTTTCTCGTTCATTCGGGAAACAGCACTTGGATCGAATTCCAAAAAGACTTCACTGTTTTCAGACATGTCATGTGACAAAAATATTAATTCGGTTTAAACCCAAAATTTTAAAATGCATTTCCCACATAAAAGCCACCTGTTTACTAGAAAGCCAATTGGAAGCAGAACTATAATTTGATGAGTAACATCTTATAATATAATGTGATATATCCATAACATTTGTTTTTAATAACAATACAATCATACCGAAATAATCGCCTTTTGCTAAGGATGGCGGGCCATGTGAGTTCAGCCAAGGCTCCAGAGAAGCTGAGCAACTCAAACAATTTCCTGCATGAAATCATAGAATCATTATGAGGCTCTGTTTGAACCACAAAGCTGAAGGAATAAAGATCGCACAAACACCGCAACAAACCCCACGTACTTGTCATCATGGACAGCAACTCCCCACTCTTCATCATGGAAAGCAACATAATTTGGTTCTGACAAAAAGGAAAGCCAATAAGCAATCAAAGAAGCACATAGGAATCTGCAGCCACAATGTTCTACAGCAAGCCCCCAATTAAGAAAACAGTGAAATCAGACATTTAGTTATCCCATTAAGGGCAAAGGATTCAGGCAAAGTAAACTAAAAAAAAGTTGAATTGTAAGGGAATAATATCTGACTAATATGGGCGATAATATCTGACTAATATGTTTGCCATATCATTTAGAAAAGTTGCTTGTAAAACGAAATCATTCCAGTTGGCCGATAAACAAGACAAGAGGACGTTAATGGCTTCTGTGCATGAAAATCAACCTTTGCAGGCACGATTCATGGCCTTGAGTGGTCTTAAAAGTTGCAGCAGATAGAACTTCAGGGACTGACTACTAAAATTGATCTTATGCTTAGAGATAAATATGATATCTCGGAGTTTCTATGTTGACATCCATATTTCACTTATTCTGAAAAAATAAATGACTATAATAAAAGGAAAAATGTTAGATCTGCTAGGATACAACAAGCAAACTCAAGATGAACCAGTATCACAGGACATAGCAGGCTCTTCTATAAATAATCTAGGACTAACTACAGGGATCTCACCATCCACATCATCAAAATTCGCTGCTTAAAATGAATGCTGATGTAGACTACGAAAGTCTAATATCCATAATTCATTATTAGTCAGAGTATACAAGAGCTTGAAACTGCTCCTCTTGATCTCACATTGGGAAGAACAACAAAAAGTGCACTGTAATACAGCGATCACAGTTAGTGAATGACATTGACACATTACTTAGAGACAATAGTGGTTTCTTTATTAGATAAATAATACGTTAGAACCCCACGGGACAATATTTGATGTCATGTTAGACCTGGAAGCTACCAGATTCAGAATATAGCTTGGCTACTGTTCTGAATTCGATGTCGTGAAACCAAGGATGATATCGCAGTGTGAAGCTGAATCATGTTATGTGAAAGGACAAATAATCCGTAGCCTTTCCATGCCCAATGACTAGTCGATTTACTAAACATGGTTTATTGGGAAGTTTACAGAATAAAAAGACGTGGTAGTGAGATTCAAAAATTAATCTTGCCTTTACTAAAATATCTAGTGTTCCATATTGCGATCAATTGCAACTTTACATTCATGTCTTACTCTTAGGACCCTAATTGTCAAAGAGAAGCGTCAAGGGTACCCATTCCCAACTCTAAAGTACCCAAAATCGCAATGAAGCCTCAAACAAATGGCATCAACAGCTCGATACTTTTGTTGGCCAAAAGAAAGGAAAGCACAATACTTTAAATAAATGCCAAGGAACCAAGGTACCTGTATTAGGTGTAACCCAAGCACACCTTTTCTTGCCCTCCGAACTATCAGTTGAATCTGCCGGTAAGTTATCAGGAACAGCCACATTATCTGTTCCAACCTTTTCACGCCTCTCCGACTTCGGACCAGAGTTCTTCTTCTTCAATGGCTCACTTGTACGCCGCACCACCTTCCCGCTTGACGACGCTCGACTGTGAGTTGAAGAATCCGTTGACGAAGCATCAGATGAGCAAGAAGCGTTCATTGACAAACTGAGTACGGCCTGATGATGATCCTGCCGCTTCAAAATCGTCGGTACTGAAACGCATAGCGGATTTGAATTCACAGCTGGCTTCTTCTCCTTGGCCTCAGGTTCTAGAACCGCCTGCTCCGGTTTCTTGACAGGTTTTGAAGCAGGTTTCCGTCCGTCGGTAGTCCGAGCTTTGTTGCCGGCGGGAACAAGCACCGGCCGGGAGTCGGAATCAGCAACATTCATGGATCGAACTCTGGGTGGGCCCGACATCACAAGAAATTCTCTCTTCCTGAACTTTGAAGTCAATGCTTGAATGTGAAGTTCAAATTCCAGGCTGCACACAAAATATTGAAAAAAATATATGGCCAAAGAGTAACTACTCTAAGCTCGAAAATTTCGCTTGGTGAAATTGACTACGGGGAATTTAATGCGCTGCTTCTATGATGCAAAACCCTAACGGAAAAGAGAGTTTCAACTTTCAAATGAATTACAAGAAAACAAAACTTTTTTTAAATTTCGTGGCTGAAAAAGCCATGAACTTTAATTGCGGGCGACGAAAACGGCTCCCTTGAGGACAACTGAGAAAGAGTCAAGAAAGGTCGTGAAACGATTTTTTTTTTTTTTTTGGGGGGACAAATTCAAAGCAAAATTCTGATGTTGAAGCTTGGTGGAGAAAGCATCGAATCAAAGGTGGATTGTGAGATGAGAGGGGAGAGAAAGAAGCAGCGGAAGAGAGAGAAAGTAAAGGTTAGAAATCACCATTTATAGCTCGCCACGTAGGAACGCAGCTCTGACAAAAAGGACAAATTTGTCCGGCCGAAAAGGGATGGAATGTTATCGCTTCTCTTTTTCGTTACAGTGAAACGGCAATATGGTTGTCGTCGCTTGGAAGCTTCGTACTCAGTCCATAACGTTCCAATTACCCTTGATTGTTTTTGTCAAACTCGCGAATTGATTTTCTGAGTTTAATGTTTTTACGTTTTCAGTTAATAAAATCATGTTGATTCATTTTTAAACTTGTGATAATTATAAACTCGGTTAAACTTACGAGTTCATTTATCGAGTTTACCGTTTTTACGTTTTTAACTTACAAAATCGTGTCAACTCGTTTTTCAACTCGTGTTAAATTTTTGAATTTAATTATGTTTAGTGACTTTATATATGATTTTTATAGAAATTTCTTTGTTGAAATGATACATTATGAACATTAATAAATATAATTTCAATTATTTAAACTTAAAATATATTTAAATGAAATTGTTCTCATTTTTTATATATTAATTATTTGATTATATACTTTTAATATCAGTTTATTAATAAAAGTAAACTCTTACGAGTTTACGATTCGAGTTCACGATCCGAGTTTACATTATTATCACAAGTTTGTTTAAACTCATGAGTTTGACAACCTTACCCCTAACTAGAAACATATTATTTCTTGTTCTTAAATCTTAATATATGATTTTATTTGTAGTTTAGATTTAAACTAAAAATGAAATCTTATATTTTGAGCTGGAGATAATAATTTTTTTATATTTAGAACCACATTTTAAAAAGAAATCTTAGGAAGATACGAAAACGTTGGTTCAAAACATAACACTTTATTGAATAGATTTTCATACCTTAATGGACCTGCCAATGAGCAAACCACATGATATGTTTTTTTCTTTTTAATTTCCATTTTTTTTGTTTCACCTAAACAAACAATGACTTCAAGGCTTCATTTGAAATCATTTATAAACATGTTTTAGGTAAGTTAAGATAAAACTTTTGTTGATATAGTTACTTATATTTTATAAATCATAATTAAAAAACTGTTTATAAGTCATTCCAAATAAGTTCTAAATTTGATATGAAAAAAATTAATAGATGAGGTGGATTTATAAATTCCCAATAAATTCACATTGATAACAAGATTTATTTACATCCTTATGAGCTAACTTCTTGTTAATTTAACTTTTACTGACATAATACCTTCAATTTTTAATATAAGACTTAATTAACCAGTTTGAAAAAATTAAAATACTTAGTTAAGTTAGTTATTTATAATAAATATTACTTCAGTCATAATTATAAAACTTAGTTTATAGACTACAAATGAGGTCTTATAATTAGAATCGAAAGTAGTATATGTTTTCTTTTCTAAAATATTATTGTTAATCATGTATATCAGTTAAAACTATCATTTGATGAAACTTTTAACATGTATAACTATTATGAGTGCTATTTTAAAAAAATAGATAAATATAAAAAACAAAGTGATTAAAATCTTATATTTAAGACCAAATTAAAAATTAAACTAGTTTTTATATTAAATATTAGATTTCTAAACCCAAGCTCCAATTGTCCCCCCAAAAAAAAAAAAACCGTCCAAATCTTGTTTTAAAACCTTCACCAATGAGCTAACGGGTGGGTCAGATAACGTGACATTGTACTCCCACATGTGACAAAAGCTCATGATCCACATTATCCATCTCATGTCCACTCATTTAAATTCCAAAAGGTACTTCTTCATCACTCTCACTAACGAAACCAGCATCAGAAGGTACCTTTTTTCGCAGCTCAATGGCGGCAACTTATTTATTTCCAAATCCAAAAGCTTTCTCACCTCTCCTCACAAACCCACCTTCAATTCCTTCCATTCACTCCACCCAAGTTCCATTCTTGAGCTCATTAGACCACCAACCCCATAATGCCAGCAGCACCAGACGAAGCGTTCACACAAATGCCAAGAAGAACCCATGGCTTGACCCATTTGATGATGGGGAGGACCCGACCATGGAGTATGGCTCCCTGTTTTCAGATGGGAAGCAGGAAGAGGATCCGAGGCCGCCCGATGACCCGAATAACCCATACGGTTTCTTGAAATTTCCTGCTGGGTATTCTGTGGAAATAGCTTCTTTGGCTTTGAAAGTGAGAGGAGATGTCAGGAGGTGCTGTTGTGTGATCTCTGGTGGTGTCTATGAGAATCTGTTGTTCTTCCCAGCTATTCAGTTGCTTAAGGATAGATATCCTGGTGTTCAGATTGATGTGTTGGCATCAGAAAGGGGGAAGCAGACTTATGAGTTGAATAAGAATGTGAGGTGGGCAAATGTGTATGATCCTGACGACTATTTCCCAGAGCCTGCAGAATACACTGATATGATCGGAGTTCTCAAGGTTGGCGTATTTCTAAATGTTAACGTTAGTACACTAAAATTTATCAGCCGATGTTAATCTTATAGTTTGACTCAAAATACATGTCAACGTTGGAAGCCAAATTTTTGTGATTTGATTAATAAGTTCTATTAAAGCAATTTGAGAACAGAATTTCCTTGCTGATAAGTCTGATGAGCTTCAGCTTTATTGGAGCGGAGGTGTAATAAGCAAGACACTCTGAAAAAGCTATCCTCTTTTAATCACGCTGGCTGCAAAAATTATGAACTGAGGCAATGTTATCATTCGTGGAAAAGAAAGAGTTTAGTTCCAAATATTATGCACAACAGACATTAAATCTTGGAATCATATATGAAAGTTCCTAGCTTACATATAATTGTAGGGTCTCTCAATAGTAATGCACTGTTCTTCTATTGTGCTTACAGAACAGGTACTATGACATGATCTTATCAACCAAATTGGCAGGCCTAGGCCATGCTGCGTTTTTGTTTATGACAACAGCTCGGGACAGAGTTAGCTATGTGTACCCAAATGTGAATGCTGCAGGAGCAGGATTACTTCTATCTGAAACATTCAAGCCAGATAGACTAAATCTCTCAGAGGGAGGATATAATATGTGAGTATATAGTAGAGCGCTAAGATTTTAGAGATATTTGGTTACGCTTTTATGCCTTCAACCTGCATTGTCATAAGAATATTGCTTTAACAGAGCAAAATCTGTGAGGCAGTTTATAACTGGTAATTTCCTTTCAATGAGTTTGCTGGTGTAGGTATCATCAGATGGTTGATTGGCTGGGAAGACCATTTCGCAGTGTCCCAAGGCAACCTCTGCCACCACTTAGAGTATCACTTTCAAGGAAGCTGAAGGATTATGTGGAGGAAAAATACAAGAAAGCAGGAGCAGAAAAAGGGAAATATATTGTAATTCATGGGGTACAATCAGATTCAAAGGCCTCAATGCAGTCTAAAGGAGATACTGATGGCTTGTTGCCCATTGAAGTATGGGCTCAGATTGTTGAGGAGATAAGGTATGGAAGGTTGTCCTTGAACTGCGGGGTTGGAAATAAGATTATCATTGCATTGATATAAGCTTTTTAGCCGTATATATGCAATTGTTTCTCATCATGTGACATGACAGCAAGTAAGGACGTACCGTCCTTCATAATGTTCACTGCATCTGTCCTTAAAGCACTTTCTTACTCCTTAGCGGCATGGGTGTGAATTTCCCCTCCTTAATTGCATTGGCATATTCAAAATACAAATCTAATTGATCAAAATGCTTGCATTTTCTATTTTTCCCTTGTATGAGTTTTCAGGGAAGGAATACGATCGATATTTTGCATTTGTATTGCCTTCGGTATTGACATCACATTGAATTATAGTTGCTAGGTTTTGGTCCCCTGTTGAGAGTTGATAGAACATTACTGATAGTATTTATACCTGTTCCGGTTCATTTTAACAGGGATTTTAGGCCAGTCTTCGTGATTCCACATGAAAGAGACCGAGAAAATGTAGTTGAAGTTATTGGAGAAGATGCTAGCATAGTCTTCATCACTACCCCAGGACAGGTACTTATATTACATCTCTCTTATTCAAATAGCAAGCAGTCTATTCTAATTTTAAAAACTAAAAAGGAAACATTGAGATATAAGAGACAGAGCAATAGGCATTTTTAGAACTGTTTTGATGTTTATATATTACTGATGGGATTTCATTTATGTGGTTTGAGTTGGCTGCTCTTATTAATGACTCAGCTGGGGTAATAGCTACAAACACAGCTGCTATCCAACTTGCACATGCACGTGAGAAACCCAGGTAACTTTATCAACAATATAAAGTGTTGGTTAGCCAAACTAAATTCCGCACCATAACAATTAAGCTTTGGAGAAAAAAGTGGATCTTTTAGATATAATTTTGAGGATAAATTACATTAATGATTCTTAAAGAAACCATAAATCATTCAGTCTCATTGATTCAGCCAACGTTAGAATGAGTCTGACATGTCCCTCTTTGTTCCTTCAACTGTAGTATTGGGTTATTTGGCTCGAAAGAGAAGGGAGATCTGTTTGTTCCACAAGCGAAAGAGAAGAAATGCACTGTAATATCATCAAAGACAGGGAAGTTAATTGATAT